GAGGGAAGCTGGATGCCGCCCCCAGCGAGCGCTCCATCCACTTCCTCACGCGCAGCCAGTCCCGCCCTGTCTGGGGACTTGCAGACACGGTTTGTAAGTGTCTGCGCCCTGGGCGTATTAAGCCTTTAGAGAACGGGGCACATTTTGGAAAGAAAGCCCTCACTGTCACCCCATCTAGCAGTGACATCCACAGGCTAGATGGGCTTTTAATCGTGTGCACATTTGAAAGGAAAAGTGTAAAACGTCATCAAGAATTCAATGAGAAAGAAATGCAGTTTTAGGGACAAGCTGCCGGAATGGTTGGATTTTAAGAAAACACGTTTATGGGGTGTGATCTGTTTTTTTCAGGAGTTGGGTAGTTCCACCCTGGGGATGTTTTTAACAGCCCTTGCCTCCCATGCAGGCGGCACCCTTGTCCTCCCGGAGCAGGAGGTACAGTTGTCACAGTGACAGGTGTGACCACGGCTCACAGACGCCCCGTCCTAAACCCAAAGACAGATGAATGTTTACACTTATTTTCATCGTCCTGTTTTAAGTTCAGCATCTCTGTATTGTGGCCAAGACATCTGGTTGCTTTTTTTTCAAGTTATAATTCACACATCGTAACGTTCACTCTCTAAAGGAGCACGAAGTTCAGTGCTTTTTACTGTGTTCACAAGGTCGTCAGCTGTTCGCTTTTTAACAGACTCGGGCCTCTCTGTTTGGCCCACAGCTACGTCTGGAAGAAGGACAGCGTGGTCATCACCCCATCCCAGCAGCTCCAGGATCGTGGTGGAGCAGGACGGGTCCCTCCTCATTAGCCAGACGTGGTCAGGGGACATCGGAGACTACACCTGCGAAATTATTTCTGAGGGCGGGAACGACTCCAGGGCAGCCCGCCTGGAGGTGATGTGAGTATCGCGGCTGCCAGGTGTCTACCTCCTCCTGGCCCTCACCGCCCCGCCCACGTGACCGTCACTTAGCCGTGTGACACCCACACGCGGCCCAAGCCAGCAGTCAGAGGCCACGGCCTTGGGCCTCACAGGCAAGTACACTTATCTATTTGCTTTTGAAAAACGGTGCCCAGCCTGCCCGAAGTTCCCCAAGCACAGACGTACAAGAGTAAAACCCGCAAGTGGAGAAGCAGGGCAGGGCCGGGGTCCGGGTCGGGGTCCGGGCCGGGGTCCAGGCCACCGCCCTAGCCGATTCAGGGCGCACGGGGCCCTTAGAAAAGGCAGTTCTGAGTGGCTTTCCTCACTGCTCTCTGCCCACCGCAACCCAGGCAGGATTCTGCAGACAAAAGTCAGTCCCTGAAGGAGACTCTGATCGCTGTTACAGGGCCGTGTCTCATCTGCCTTTGAACCCCCAGGCACAGGCCGAGGGGACTGAAGAAGAAAACTCCTGCTTGGTGCTCAGCACGAGTCCCCTGTGTTTGTCGCACACAAACGTGAGCAAGCAGCTTTCCGGCAGCCCCGTGTGTGGGGTTTGACGGGGGAGCCACGTGCAGCTGCGAGCCCAGAAAGGCAGCCGTTGTACCCCTGGGACCTGGGAGAGCCTGGTTCCTCCTCCAGGCTGGTCTCTGTCCAGGACGACCTTGTTCCCTGCAGAGGTCACCCAGTTAGTCACGACGCACAGGTGCCCGTGGCCCAAGAGCATCGGCTGGGGTCCCGGTGCTGTAGCCGCACAGGGGTCCCGACTGTGCCTGGAAGGATTGGCTCCCTGTCCCCTGCCTCTGGCCACTGGACCCGCTGACCTCGGGCTCTTCCGGCCTCCTGGGCCCCCGGTCCCCCTCCAGGGCGCCTCGGCCTCCGCTGCCTCCAC